CCCCCACTAGATTGCAAACAGGGTTGAATGGCAATTTGCCTCTAGGACTTAAGAACACAAGAACATGCAATTTGCAACTTATTGAATGTTCTTCAGGATTTTGGAATGCAAAAGTTAAAATGAATCCTGCACTAGTTCACCTATTTATAGGCAATATATGCAGAAATAAAAGGATACAAAATAAGTACACAACCCTTGGCTTGTAGGAAATAACCACCAAACATGTGAAGGGTTGCCAACTTAATTTTATCCTTCAATTTTAAATTAATTATTTTATTTTACAAACTAAAATTTCCAACATGCCAAACCTCACATTTAAAAAGGGAATAGCATCTATATTAGGACGCTATGCTTTTCTCCCTCACGTCTATATAATATAATAAAAACTCCAAAACAACTGACTTAGTGCATAGGGTTGCTTTATCTTCTACATATCAACATATTGCACTGTTTCATATGCATATGTGTATATATATATATATATATATATAAACATATTGCACTGTGCCTCATATAGTAAGCAGATGAATTAACAAATATTTTCACAAAATTCATATAGCATTAAGTACAAGTCAAAAAACTTCGCCGAAAATAAACTCACACATAATTGACTTAAGTACACAAAAATTTTAGACAACTAAAAAGAATTAAGCTTAACCAGACTACGAACAGGACCTTTAAATTCAAATATGTCATCATCGAATATGGACAGCCATATTTTGATATTTGTTTAAATTTTTTTTTTTTTTAAAAAAAACGAAACTAAACCTAGTGAACACTCAGATTCAGTTCCATGAGTTCAGATTTGCCTTTAAGGTTCTGGTTGCTAAATCATGATTCTTGAAAATGCACGCTGAACTGATTCGGTTCAAAAGGGTGTGGATCTTCAGAAGGTCTTTCAACTGCCCAGAAAAGGGAGGAAAAAAAAAAAGAAACAGGCTTTTGAATAAAACTAAAATTAATTTGCTCAATTTTATATTTCCCATTTTAATCAACACGAAATGAAGAAAAAGCACATGAGAGGGGTCCTTGAACGATCATAACTAAAATATTCTCGTTCGTGAGTTCATCAGTCATGACAAAAACTTGCATGCAAAGGTACAAGCACCCATACAAAAAAAGAAAGCCCCACAAATTAAGTCACTCGTGCACTCAAAAAGCTTTGATCATCATCATCTTCTTCATCAAACAACTTTTAGGGATCTTGACCATTCTCACCCGTTCATGTCAATAAAAAATGTTTTTTTTTTTTTTAAAGAAAAAGAAGGTCTAGATCTCTTACTTTATGGTCTTTCTTAAGGACAACTCTTTTAATCAATTGCACAAATTAACAACCATGAACATTGCTCCAATTGCTGCATATTATTCATCATTGTACCTTGCACATTAGTGTGTGTTTTGTTCCTTTCACAAATGTCCAGAAAAAAAAAAAGAATTAAAGAACTTCGATCTTTAACTAATTGGACCCCTTTTGCCACTCTCCACTTTGACTAAATGTCTTAGTCTTTTAAAGGCATTCCAAATCAGCATATAGAAACTTCACTAGGTGTCATTGCTTGGAAAAACAAAAGGGATTGTTTAGATAAGATCGGGAGTTTTTTCCCTAATTATGGGCAGGAAAAAGAAAAAAAAAAAACAGATCCATAATAATAAATTTTTTTAAAGAAAGGCTAAAATCATTGAACTATGTTCAAATTTATAACAATCTCATCAAAAAGCATTGCGGTCAAAGATCCATATATAGCCTTTAAAACATCATACGAACACATAGCAATCTGTTTCTTGTTTCTTTAAAATCAATCATGCAATTTTTTTGTGCTTTTAATTCCCACTAATCAAATTACTTAAGCAAGGCAAAGAAGAAAACTTAAACAAACTGCTGAAACATGATAACCTTTTTTTGCCCTTTTTCTTTTTTCCCGAAAGTTTTTGATGGGGAAATGGTTACCAATAAGCTTCACTCTAAATCGACAATCATGCTAGAAAGTTCTTTGACTAAGAGAGTTAGCGATTCGGAAAGGAGGTCCTTTTTTTTTTTTTTTCTTTTTCCCCTTCTATCGGTTCTTGCAGATTGGTTAAACTCATTCATATTAAAGCAAAAGATACATCTAGTTTTTGGATCTTTTAGACTTTTAGTGTGCATCATGGAAGAGAAGATCATTATTAACTTGTTAGATTCCTCAATCAATGATCACATCTCGGAATTTTTCTTAAAAGTATATAATAAATAAACAGCATTTTATATGAATTTATGACATATATCATACCCCTTTTTTCAACCAAAACAAAATAATAACACTACCTCATTCCATAAGAATAGCTACTTTGTAAAACTATTCAAGTTTGTCCCAAAGGAAAAAAAAAGGGGGAAAAAAAGAAGAAAAAAATAGTGTTACGAGTTCACTTTTCTTCTATGAAAATTTAGAAAGATAACGTGTGGAATGCACTTTTCTTATATTTAAATTTATTCGAACGATCAAAATTTCAATCAAATTTCTTTCGAGTTTAGAAAACTAGCAAATATCCTTGATCTATCTATCCTAATGTGCACCTCATCGCAAATATTGTCGTCTCAATACCTATTCGCAGAAAAATCTTTTTTAAAAGAGTGTTAGCCATTTCTTTTCTTCTTTCTTTTTCAATTTTTATGTTTGCCTGGCACGTGTAAGGCTGTGTTTGTTGTAACAAGGACGTGCTACTATTCAATCGTTTCAAATATTTCTCTAGCTTTATTTTATTTTATTTTTCTTAAAAATTTAACAGACTCATCAGTGTTTTTCTTTTAAAATATTTATTCATACATTGAAATTACTTCTTGTTTTACTTCTCTTTTCATGCTAGTTAAAGGTTCACTGATTAGGCATACTTTATAAAAGAATTGACCAATATAGTGCAAAAAATATTTGTTGGGTGTGGAGTTTCGTATTCGAAAGGTACAAAATTTTTCCTTAATTTGTCAATTATTTTCCCTTTTTGGGGTCTCGTTTTAAACTAATGTTTCTTGAGATTGATAACCACGTTTGTTTTTTCTAAAAAATCAGAACTTGAACACACAAAGACTCGTAAAGAAGTAGCAACTTGTGGATGTATGCCACTGTATAACTTGCACCACTTTCTTGCATAATGATAGGGTGCTTTTCATTGCATTAACCGCGACTTCCAAATTTGGAGTCAAAAGTGATTATGCATTATATAATGATCATCTCTTCTTCATTAGTTGGATGAGCCCTTTAGAATTTACATAATCAAATGTAGTACAGCTTTAAAGTAGAACCAATGATCAACTTGAGGGTTTGGCTTTGATGGAGTTCAATTTTCGTCCAAAAAATACAAAATTACAAAGGTTGGCAAGTATTTGATTGTCATCGTTCATCCAAATCTAAGTACTCCTTCCGTCCCAAAAAAATAGTCCAGTTTGATAAAATTTTGTCCTGAAAAAATAGTCCAGTTTCAAAAAAGTCAAAATTAAAACATGTAAAATATCTCAATTGCCCTTTCTGATAACAAATTCAATCATTCCCCTAACTTTTAATTTGACCGGCGACGGTGAGGGTGGACGAGCTCCGACGGTGAGGTTTTGATGGAGAATAATAACAGGATTCGAAACAATAGTCTTTAAAGTTTTCGTCGCCGACTACTCATCTTGGTCCCTACAATTCAGTGCCATCTCCAAAGTTTCCGTTGAACTGGACGAATTACAGTTCCCCGGCGAGAACAAACAAGAACAGGGGACAACCGGGTCAATTTCCAAACCCGCCTCCAAATAATAATAATAATTAATTAATTGTTAAACGGCAATAGTGGGGAATGACAATGATCTAAAATATCACAAATGTTTTGATATAACGAAGCAAACTATCTTTGAAGCATGTCAAGACCTTTCTTGAAACAATAATCCGAATACGAATGCCATGAGAAGGGAAAGATAAAAGCTGATTATTTTTTAATTGTAATGGAAGACATGGTAATGTTTTCTCCGTTCAAAAGTAACCAATTGCCCAAACTAAAATTCATTTTCAGAGTTCACTTGGAATTTATTTCTAATAATACCTATGTATAGAGTGATAAACTTAGTACGCTTGAAACAATAAATATATGGATTTAAAAAATAATATACGAAACTCAAAAAATAAAATAAAATTTGTACCAATGAGATTTTAAACACCAAAGTCTACCATTTAGCACTACCTCGTACTCCCTTCATCTCCAAAAAATAACCACTTATATTGCACTATAATTCAACAAAAAGGAAATATCTTTCTGGAAGCGAGTACTATATTTGACAAATTTACATTTTTGCCAAACAAAAAAATAATTATAATTATAATTATTTGCTCTCCAAGTCTAACCCACTATCTGCATTAGAAGGGAAAAAATCATACCACCCAACTTTTCTCAATGTTCTTTAGTGCTCAAGTTACTAGACAGTTCACGTTTTAATAAACACTTTATTATTCTGTTTTAAGTTAATAATTACATAAGTTGGACAGAAGGATTATTGAGAAATTGCTTATAGGGGAAGGTCAAGTAATAAATTATCTTCAACTTCAATAAGCCCGACTCTTGCACGGTTTTGTTTGGAGAACAACTGTCATTTTCATTTTAAATTAAAAAGTGTTGGAGAATACGTTTCAAGTGTAAATTTTTAAATATTGTTGGAATGATCTTGTAATTTATGAAAGGGTTCTTCCAATTACCAACAGTGGCCCTCTATCACTCCCCGTAGTTGCAAGACGTCCGACGGCGTGAAAAGGCGACCATGGTGGTAGTTAATTTTCAAATAATTTTTTTTAAAAGAAAATAATTGAATATTAGATAATATTTATCCTTGGGCATTAGTTACATGCTCTCTCTGTCTCAAAATTATTATCCAATTTGAAATTTCACTTTTAGTACAATTTGATCTAGAGATAGAAATCTAAACTAGACAATAATTATAATCAACAATTATAACACTGGCTTGTCAGAATGATAATCCTACAAAGCAATCAGACTGAATCAAAAAATTCCACGGGTGCCAATGGCATTCTAACCTCGGACATTTAGCGTTGAGTTTTGTTCTGCCAAATGAGAGAAATAGTAGTAAATAAAATCCACAAGATAAAAATGCAAGAAAATTAAAATTGAAAATTCAATAAACTAGTTAACTCTTCCAAAATGCATTTGAGGGTGATAAAGAAGCCACAAAAAAAAAAAACAAAAAAAAAAGGGAAGAACAGGAATAAGACTTTAGGAGTAAAAACCTACTAAATTGATTTCTAAGCTACTTCACACGTCTAAAGCTTTTTGCTGCATAAGAAACAATACACCGAATGAAACTGCAATTCGATCATGCTTTCTTTTAGAGCAAGCGGTTCCTTTGAACAACGATGCCTGTGTTACCTAAACTTACAAACACAAATGGCTCAAGAAAATACAAAGAACCTGGATTGTTACAGATAACAAGATTCACCAAGTACAACAATCAAATGATAACCAGATACAATCAACAGAGACACCAGCAATGGCAAGAAGGGATTATGACCATAGAAAACTAAATACCGGCAGCGAGGATTATGAATTGAGGCAAACAAGTACCCTGTGCAAAGAATGGGTCATATTACATATGCTTATGTTGGAATTTTGGTTTCCCTCAATCAAGGATGCCTCCTAATTCAGGCACGCATCACAGCATACATTCTCTGATTACATCTGCATTGTTTTGTAAATTTTTTTTATGCTGCAAAAAGTTATTACTTCTGAGCAAGGTTGTCCACGGAGCCACCATGCCGTTGCATGGCAACAACTGGTTCATTGCATCTAGAGCATCGAAATGAAGGAGCTGCAGAGCACCGAGTTCGTAGGCAGTAATAACAATACCTGTAACCAAAAAAAAATTTACTCAGTAAATAAGGTTTCCACAATGGGCTTATAATAAAGGAAAACAGCATATGCACTGGTCATTCCTTTCTGGAAATTCAGCTTGCTTTTTGTAGTCATTTTCTCGTACTTTGGTCAAAGAATTTATCATGCAATAACAAGATTGGCTAGTTCCATATACGAGAATCACCACAATTGAGTCTTGACCACAACCCAAAAGAAATTCATGGTGCAATGGCAAGACTTCAGCTGATAAACGATCCAATTCTTTAAACAAAGGATTCAGATTCAATGTTGACTACAATTTTGTATGACACTCAGTACCCTCTAGAGGTTCAACCAAACAAAGGCTACTAGGTAGTTTCCCTTAAAACTTGCTGCTCCCCAACTCACAGCTTTTATCTGGCCTCTTAAACTCTCCCATATCCACTTTAAGACTTGGTGTTAATTTTTCACAAGACCGCTGCCTCATGCCGGTCCTCCACCAAACATAGAGCCTCTAATCGACATTCCTCATTTACACATCCCATCAGGTGTTCCAAGTCAGTACAGTCCCCTATGTTCCCAAACACCAAATGGTGAGTTTTTGAGATCACCTCCAGCAAAGTTTCCTTTCCATGTGATGGAGTTTAAACTTTCTAGACACTATGGTTTGAGGTTCAGAGGCTAATTCCTTTACAAGTTCTCTGACAACAAAATTGCAAGAAAATTCTGAACACCTTCTCGAGTATCATTGTTAAACACGAGATCACGATAACTCCCTAAATTATAAACTGTTGATCATTTTCTTAAATGATTAACTCCCTAAGTAAGATAACTGGTAGTTCCTATATGCATAACAATTCCCAAAAATTGTTGCAGTAATCACCCGATAAACTACTCGCCCTTCAAAATGCAGCCTGCTTTCATCATTTTACACCAGGATTTCAGTTTCTTTCTTCAAACCTTTGTTGGCAAAATCCTGAAGTCAAATAAAATTTGTAACTATTTGCCACCCATTTGCACTACATCAGAAAGTCTCACAACTTTATGTTCATCAAAGTTAAGGGACAAAGAACTACGGGAGTTTATGGGAGCTGCAGATAGAAAGCAAAACACAGGTTTAGTAATAATTCAGCCAAGAGAATTCCAAAGTCACAAAGATTCATAAGGTATGAAGTGGAGTCTGACCGAAGCCCTTACCATGCACACCCAATTTAAACTGCCAAATGAGCATCTAAATGTACTTGGAACCTGACCTAGTATGCTTAAGCTGAGCTACATAGTGCTTGTTACAATCTTCCCATACATTCCTAATGACAAACAAAAGAAAGGAACTAACCTATGTTGCCTCGAATCATCATTTTAGGTCGAAATACCAATGTGGACATGATATGATGAGGGTGCTGGTATTAGACAATACGATCCAGGAAAATGGATCCCTTGACTTTAGAAGGACTTTGATATTTTATGGCTGCTGACTTACCACAAGAGTACGATAGCAGATTTCATCAATTAAATATGACGGCCCTAATTGGTTAAATGGTACGAGTAGTCGAGTCTTGTGAGTTGTCTAGTTGGATATTCATATATCACTTAGCTATCCAATCCTGGGTAAGTAGTGGATGAAGTAACTCACCTATTTTGTAGCTTATAATTTTCTAGAAAAACAATTAAATGAGAATCCGATACCCATACAATATTAAATAACTCATATTTAGTTATTTGCTCTATACATGTTATCAAACATTACTAAGCATATCCCGGCACCAATGTCCGAGTCCTTTGTCATTCCCCCAGATCTTGACTTTACAAAAGCAAAGAGTTACACCTAGATGCACAACCGCCCTGACGTCCGACATCCCGACAACCGTACCCGAGTCCATGTAACAATGGAACTAACTGGCCTGCACACATGGCCTTCTCATCAGTAGATACTTTCAAAGCTGAATCGAAAGCCTACTAGATGTCACACTAAAGCAGTCAACAGACACCAAGGAACAGAAAGGTTGGCATGTCCTCTACTAACATTGGGCAAGCCCTGATTACAGATGTATGTCTCCCAACCATCAATATGCAATACTTCTTGATGGGAACAGGGGAATGAAAAGATAACTAAAGAGATAGGCAAACCCCAGCTGCAGGGATTTAAGAAAGGCAGAGTCTTTGAAAGCTACAAAAGGATAATTTTACATGAATCAGAAAAAGACAATAACAAAAGCTACAGAACTTCTCTATTTAAAGAGAGATTCTATGTAATCCTAATAGGCTTACTAACTTCCAGAAGTTAGGACTTAAACTGACTCTTATAAAAAAAAAAAAAAAACATTATTAAAAGGAACTACTTATACTAATTTAATGGTAAAGCTATTTCTTGCATCTTCCAGCATTACTTCTTCTCCCAAGCAAATCCCCATGTAAGAAACTTGAGAAAAATAATTGAATATGAAATATCTGTGACGGAGAACAAAATGTGGTGGTTAAGAAAATCAGAACTTAGGCTGATTAAAGAGTAGTATGCAGCGGAAAAAATCAATAGAAAACTGTAGGGAATAAAGGTAGAAATCGCAGGAAAATAGGGATAATCAGTAGGAAGAAGAAGAAAACCTAAGAATCACTCTTAGGGCCCTTTGGCGTCACACCGCAGGAATCCTAGGCATCACACCAAGGGTTTAGTTGAGTCACATAACTATTGCAAAGCAAAGCTTATTGCAGGAATTTTTATTAATCAACATTTAAAAAATCTCCCCAGATGAGGTACATATAAATAGGCCTAAAACTTAACCTAAACCAAAGACAACTAGGATTCTCACCTAATTTCCTTTTTATTCCAAGAAAATCCTGCAGCATAACTAATATACTAAAATACCCTTTCCTAAATATTAATACTGAAATAAACTAATCAAATTACTGCTTAATAAAGGATTAACTAAACGAAAGTCCTAACACTTTGGCTCCTTCCTTGGATCATGATAATCCTGGGTATAAATATGGAAGAACCTACTGATAGGGTTCTTCTACCATTCCTTGTCCCCATCATTCTCCCCTGGTTCAAAAAAACTCGTCCTCGAGTTCTAAAATGTCTGAGAATGAAGAACCTGACAATCTGAAACATAAGCCATGGCGCTGCAGCATATTCAACATGTGAAAACTTCCTTCGCCCAAATGTAGGTATAAGAGTAGACATTTGGAATGTACTTGCTGGTTTGTGGTCATAAACCTCTCCGAAAATGAAATCAACTTTCGGAATTCCAGGATCATAAACTTTTGAATGGCATGTCTTTAAAATTTGATTCAACTTCACAAAATTTTCATTCGGACTTGTAGCAAGGTTTCCATGAATCAATTCTTTTGACTTCTCACATGAACCAGAACCTCCCTCCAGTTTAGGATGCAAAATATTTCTCAGTAGGGCTCGTCCTTTAACTACTTCCTCTTGAATCTCACCAAGATTGAGAAGTTGTACTTCTTTTGGCTTGTTACCAAATGTATTAAGTTGATAAATCTCAGGCTTATCAATGCTCTCAGTAAGCTTACTTTGCTGAGTTTCTCGAACTACTTCTTCCACCAATACATTCATGACGTCTCCTTTATGATCCTCTTTAAAATCCTGAACAGCAGTAGCGTTATTTGTAATCTCCTTAGTAAACTCCTGAACCACATTCATCATAGGATTGTTGTCTTGTTGAACCACATGATCAGTAAGTTCATCATCGGACTTTTCTAGAGATGCCTCGGCAAAAATCTGAACCTGGTCAGCTGTGTTGTCTTCCTCCTTAGAAACACTACTCAAATCATAAGACAAATCTAATACCTTAGACTCTGCAGGTTGTGCGATCGCCAAGTCACAATCAGCACCTAGATCTTCTATTGTAGCATTGTCTAGATCACTATCATCAACATTCTCTAAGTAGATAGAAATAGATTCATCAGATCCATCATCCTCGTCAACTTCTTCAACTTCTTTGCTAACATCTTCAGAATTATCATCTCCATCATCCTCCTCAACTTCTTCATTAACATCTGATTCATCAACTAAATGTTCTTCAGCCTTAAAATCAGCAACTGTGGCTGGTTTTGAGAACCATCGTCTGGCAGCAAGCTTCAGATGAGATACCTTCCTTCCTTGTGTAATCAGCAAACGAAAAGGTTCCTCTTGTAAAATTTTCTCAACTTGTAGGGCTAGCTGATAAACTTCGTCAATTGAGTTCACTTTATACCCAAGAATCTCATCTCGAATTTCTGGTCTCAAGCCTAGCTTAAAACCAAGTCAATGCTAATTCTTGAGTTTCAGAAACTCTGTAGCGAACTTTTAGGTTCATGAATACGTTTTTATAAGCACTTACAGTCATTCCCCATTGCTCTACATCAGCAGCATCATCATAGGGACGAGACATGTATTTTCTTTGCAACCGCAATTTCATCTCTTCCCAAGACATAATCAATCCTTGTCCTCGCCATTGCAAATCATGCTCAACTTCTCTCCACCAATTTTCAGCATTGCCAACAAGACAACTAATAGCAAATCTTACTCTTCTCTCATCATCAGTCATGTCATGCCTATCACTCTAAAGTAGCCAACCAAACATTAAATACTTCAAAACCATCAAAACCATCTCCGCCATGAAATTTCAGATTATCAAATCTGAAGTAACTAGCAGTATCATATGAATCTATCCTTTTCTTCCTCCCAGGGGGCTCGAAAATAATATCCCTAAATCGTTGTGAATACATTGCGGTCAGCTTCTAAACTTAAACCTTTTCTTAAACTCAAAACTCACCAGGAATTGAAGCCAAGTTGATGTATTAAAATCAGAACATTAAACCTTGTTTTTCAAAGCTGAATTCACCAGGAAATTCGGCTCCGATGCCAAATTGACGAAGGACAAAATGTGGTGGTTAAGAAAATCAGAACTTAGGCTGATTAAAGAGTAGTATGCAGCGGAAAATCAACAGAAAAATGTAGGGAATAAAGGTAGAAATCGCAGGAAAACAGGGATAATCAGTAGGAAGAAGAAGAAAATATAAGAATCACTCTTAGGGCCATTTGGCGTCACACCGCAGGAATCCTAGGCATCACACCAAGGGTTTAGTTGAGTCACACAACTATTGCAAAGCAAAGCTTATTGCAGGAATTTTTATTAATCAACGTCTAAAAATCTCCTCATATGATGTACATATAAATAGGCCTAAAACTTAACCTAAACCAAAGACAACTAGGATTCTCACCTAATTTCCTTTTTATTCCAAGAAAATCCTGCAGCGTAACTAATATACTAAAATACCCTTTCCTAAATATTAATACTGAAATAAACTAATTAAATTACTGCTTAATAAAGGATTAACTAAACCAAAGTCCGAACACTTTGGCTCCTTCCTTGGATCATGATAATCCTGGGCATAAATATGGAAGAACCTACTGATATGGTTCTTCTACTATTCCTTGTCCCCATCAATCTGAAGGATGTCAAATCTACCAGGCAAAACCATAGGCTGCGGTGAACTAACCACAAAGAAAACAAAGGAAGGAACAGGGGGGAAATGACCCGGGGGCGGGGGGGAAGGGGGGTAGGGGTTGGAGGAAGGAAGGGGCCTTTCTCAAATGCTTGTGTTATCTACACGAAGTTTCCTTCAAAGATTTCACTCTAGAGCCCACAAAACTGTTCCACTTCTTCCACAATTTACTATCAAAGATCAAAAATTCTTTTTACTAAATTATTCCAAAAAATATGTGCAGAGAAGGTTAATTCAGTCCAAAGAGCTCCCACTTATACAAAGGTCTCTTATAAAGCCAAACCAAACTTGTAAACAAATAATAAATAAGTCATAACCAAAAGATAGATCAACATTTAGCAGCTCAGCAACATCACTTGAAGATAAACACTAACAATAACTAAGTAATAACCAGAAGACAGATCAAAATTTAGCAGCTCGGGAACATCCCCTGAATAAAAAATCACTAATCTCATATTTCTCTTTCAGGTCAGTAAACACTCAAGCACTCACAAGCATTTTCATTGACAACGCCATTGCCCTTAAATTTACAATTTGCCATCCATGTAAGGATTTCACGTGGAATCACAACTATCCGTTGGCAAGACTTACGCTCTTGAGTTATGCACTTAGAAAGTTTTGTAATAGAAGTAGAGTAATTTGGTTGTAATATGAACCTCCTTGCCAATCAATGAAAGTATTTACAGTTTACCAAAAAAAAGACTTGCGCTCTTAAGAGAACCAGAAATTAAAACTTCGTTTAGCTTTAAAAGACACTTGAGAATAAACGGGATATATACCTGTGCTGACAAGGGAGAGCAACAAATGGAATACTGGGATTCGCCTGGCAGATTGGGCAAAAACTTTCATCACTGCCAGCATTTGAGGATTTATCCTTTGAAAATGGATGAAGCAAACTTTTCATTGACGATGAGTTATGAAGCGGTAGAAGCAATAAGAGCATTTCCTGAAACAAACATGAGACTTCATGTAAGTGCATCAAAGAACTACAGAGTTGCAATTAATCTCAACCATGAAAAGTCGAACATACAGATAAGATCACAGAAGATAAAATATATAAATAAAATAAAGATGTACATACATACGTATAGCCAGAAAGAGGAACCAAAAAAACAAAGATGACAAAAAACCACGATACAGTTGATGATAAAGAAACCAGCGCAAAGATAGTAGTTATATCAAAGTGATTCAACATGCCAAAAGGAAACTGAAAGAAGAGTGACTGACTCGAAAACACAGGACACAGCTTATCCCTTGCAGCAACTGTCACCCAGAAAAGAGTTTCAGCTGGCTATTACTAAATCAAGAAAGAGAACACTCTTATGTTATCTCTTCTAGCTTCAATTCAAACACAAGGAAACAGGCACTACAATTTAAAAACACTCCATTAACTAGCTAATTGTTTCTCTGTCCCATTATCGCAGTCCAATTTCTAAAACTAGAATTTGGAAATTAGACTCTGTAGTTTTTTAAATCAGACTTAATACAATGGGATGGAGGGAATATTCATTCATTTTTGTATTTTTATCTCAAAAGTTGAGTGTTAAGAATCTAGGATGGTTAAGTTCCTCTTAACATGTAAACTGGACTTATTATTGTGGAACAATTGGAGTACTTGTAATAAGAGAAGGAGGAGAATTACCGAAAACTCATTCCAGACTAACTGGCGGTTCATATACTCAAAGCTCACGGCTCTGTTCATATGAGGACTTCCATAAACGAGTCTAGCCTGCAAAAATCGCTCAATAAGACTCCTGTACCTGCATCACATCATCAGTATGATGGGCCATCAATACAAGCAAGAGAATATACACCCCAGCAGTTCAGAAATATTGAATGCAAACAACACACAGAGTTCTAAGAGTCTGACAGCCTGTCCACTTGAACAACTGGTTACTGCTGATGAGAACCATGACAAAGTCTATTTAGATGGCATTTTGTAATGTCAGCTTCAACACATTGCCCAATCTTTTATCATATACAAGTATCTTTCCATAAATAACAACACCTAAATGTCCAGCCATAGGCAAGTTCAAAGAGTAAAACCAAACGTTAAACTCCAATTGGTAGGATATTCAGACTAAAAAATATACTCGTGTCCACTTATTTAGATTCAAATTACGATGAGGGTTCCAAACACGACCCACATCCAAGTCCAATGAGGTGAAACCATTCAGTGAAAGTTTACCTTCCTGTGTACAGAAAGATAAGCAGGTTGACAAAAGATGCCGCTCTATAAAATCCCTCTATGCGCTGTATTAGATACCATGCTCGACGGCCGATTGGTCTCTGTGTATGGAAAAAGTAGTACAAAAGGTAACTTCGTAGGTCTGTCCATATCATCAACTTAAACAACACCAATCCACTCTAATGAAAGCAAGAGGATAAGATAGAAATACATATAGAAAAATATAGAGAGGGGAAAAGACAGCCACATCAATGTCCATATAATTTTTCTATTAGAGAATACAAGATAAATACCTGTTCAGAGTCCCCCCACCGACGAAAAGCAGAAAATGACTGTAGACGAGCCCATAAATATTGCCCACCAACACTAGCAACACAATACCAAATCTTTTGAGCAACTGTAAGCCCAGGTCCCTCCAAACCCGTTCTAACTGGAAAACAGCCACAATATAAGGAAAATTAAAATCCAACTTTGATCTGAAAAGCATCGAATTTATGAGACCTAGAGATCAATATTATCCAAATAAGATATGAATTTTAATGGCAATTTCAACACCAATAAGACATCCACGGGGAGCACGTAATCTAGCTCCTACAAACAAGTAAAAATGCTGTAGTAAACAACTCCAAGCCAACTAATGTTTCCAACACCACATGCAGTGCGCATTATTAAAACGCTTAGTTATATTTAATGGCAGATGCTATGTCTTTATAGAAATACAGTCATTAGGAACAAACAGGAACAAAAAGGGATAGATAATAAAAGAAAAGTAAGGAGATAGGGTCCAACCTTTTTCTCTAACTTCAACAGCTCGCTCATCTCTGTACCTTAAGTTCATTAGACCATTTCCCGGAGTAGGCTTATCCACCCAGATAGAGAACCTCCAAATTAGAAACTCAAGGAATGCATCAAGTTCGGGCTCAAATTGAAATAGCATTCCTGGCTAATCCCAAAGAAAAAGGCACCCAACAAATTAAATGCCTACCAAATAAATGTATATCCTCAGATGAGAATTCATCCAATCAAAACAACCAACATGGAACCGCACATACCTTCATCAGAGAAAAAACCTTCACCATTTGCTCCTTCAACATAGCAGACATTTCAATATCAAGTCTACCAGCATCTACCTGATTGACTCTAGATATCGCAACTGGGATGACTGGCTGCCAAGAATATCATCATTTTGGAGATTAATCTTACCCATACAACAACAGAAAATTTTCATAGAAGAGCTTCCAAGTACATGGGCACAAACAAAAGAAAACTCTTAGAAGACTTCCTAATGATCATACTCTCTATTTCCCAATTAATAAGTTATAACTCACTGTAGTCAATCCTTAAGCACAATGACACAACTTATGAACCCAAAAACACAGCCAGCTACTTTTTAAGTTATACAACAAGCAGAAAAACATTACCCGATGCATTGGAAATCTTTCAAGTGTGCAGCTGATACCAAATAGAATGGAAAGAAAGCATACTATGTGAATTTTTGCAGCTTGAAAAATTCAAGTAAGCACAAACACAGAAACCTAATCTTCTTCCATTTCGTAAATTCCAAAACAGAAATTTATCACATAGCTGAAAACCAACAAATTAACCATAAGGTTGACAACTTCAAAGAAATTCCACAACCCGTTACAAAAAACTCAAAATATACAACTTTAAACTAATTTTAACCAAATGAAATGCCAAAATTATGATGAAAAATAATAAGAGAGAAGGGACATAAGAACAGCAACCTGGTTGGAAGAAGTAAGAGATTGCCACTGAGGAAGTAAGTTTAAGTAAGAATCAATCCAAGCATCCTCCGGTGGTGGAGCAATTGATGAAGAAGATGGGGATGGTGATGATGATGATGATGATGATGATGAAGAAGCTAGGGTTTGTCTATTCATTTTTGTTTCAAATTAAGAGGGATTATTACACTTCTTTTTGTGCGATTTTGCGGTTGAATGCTCTGCAAAATGGGTTCATAGGGGAGCAATGAAATATGGAAGGGATGATTTCTGTGTTTGTTTTGCTGGTGTCTCCTTCTGGCCACGAGGACACCAACCTTTGCGAGTGGGTTAGAGAGGGATTTTCTGGTCTTTACAACAAAATCAATTTTCTCGAATTTCTAAACAGTTTTCATTGGGACTTGGGAATTGCGATTTGGTACACTGCTTTAGTGCTACTAGCCTAGTACTCCTTCCGATACTTATTATAACACATTTTGATTTCGTCCTAAATTTTATTTATGATATATTTTTAAATGAAAAAAAATCTTAAAAATATTTCATAAGAAAGAGTAGGACACAAAGAACGTGAAAATGTATTTTTAAGGGTTTTTTTTTCAATTAAAAGATATCTTAGGTGAAACATAGGATGAAAACAAAATGCCTTATAATAAATATCGGAGGAGTACTTTGTAAGAAAAATTGTGTTCATCTATAATTTTGTAATGGAATTAAAGATAGTTGTTAGTTGTTGTTATGGCCAAGTAAAAGAAATTTTAGAATTACCCTCACAAAAAGAAATAATTAGGAGGGAGAAAAAAAGAAATAAGATGAACTTTAAATTACAACCGTGAAATTCTCTATAAATGTTTGATTATGTTACAATCATTTCGTATAACACAAACCCCAAGAGAGAGAAAAAATGAAAAGAAAAAAAGAAAGAGAACTCTCACCTTGCGCCATCTAAGTCTAAATAAAATCAAGGTATCATTTTTCTTATATTTTTTAGTTTTTTTTTTTAAATTATAAGTTAGACCATATTTGATTATTCTACCATCAAGCCGATTTTAATGCTTGAAGATATAGATTTAGATTCTCGGATGAAAGTAATAAATATATTTGGACAGACACACCTACAGGAGATTTAACCATTTCATCTGTATATAGGATAAAAAGGGAGTTTCAAAACCCCCGTTTTTTTTTTCTCGAAGTTTATTTGGAGCCAATTGATTATAGTAATAATTTCTTTTTTTCTCTTGGAAACTTTTGAATAACTTGTTTCCTTTGAGATGTCTGTTTTGTTTGAAAAATGATAAAATCATACAACATGTGCTTTTTCACTATGATCCGATTTGAAAAATTTGGCTTTCTTTTGTTTCGATACTTGAATTTTCGATACCTATGGTTTCGGAACGAAATACATTTTTGTGGGCATGGTTTTCGGCTAGTAACAAGACACATCAGCTCTCAAAACTATAATTTGAATGTTTCCAACTTTTATTTTTTTGAGAGATTTGAAAAATAAGAAATAGAGTTATATATGAAGGAGCACATTTAATTTTCAGCATGTTCGATCTATGAATGAGAATGCTAATCTTTTACAAGTTCATGAATTATCTAAAAATCAATACCAGAGCAAAAAATTATTGAAGATTTGTTTTAACTACGACTTCAAAAGTCCAGAAAGGAAAACGTTAAAGGTCTTATATTGGAAAAAGTCCCTGAGAAACTGTTATGCTTTAAATACAGACATATATTTGCTAGTAAATCTAAAAGAAGTCAGAATCAAATACATCATTAAAGGAGATCAAAATTAGCTTATTTCAGCAGCTTGTAAACACATAGGCTTAACTTGCAGTTTTGAAGTCGTACCAAAAGTAGCTGTTGGAATATTTTTCACTATTTTGCATATGTAAGTTACAACTTTAATGAGTACAATGAGTTATTTTGCATAGTCATGTCTCCTCAACGACATAGTTATCTGAGGACAATGAGTTTTAACTTTAATGTTATCTTCTATACTGAAAAAATAAATTAAGTTTAAATGCTTTCATTAACATATCTAAGTATTGAGTTAGTAGATGGTGTTTGATTGTTGGAGTTTGCATTTGTAATCTAATCTCTGCCGGTTTGTACAAAGCGAACTTGGTTACTATAAACTAGATTGCTTGGAGTTCATTTGAGGCAGAAAATTAACTCACAAGAATTAAAACTTCTTTGGCATTTAGTCCTTTCAAGTTTTTTTAGATGGGTGACTTAGTGTTGTGCAAAATTAATTTCATCAAATTCAAATATAACCACTGCACATAATAGAGGACATATAAAGCCTAAAGTAAAAGTGATTCATAATGATTTTAACCTTTTTGTTCTATTTATTTTCCAACCACTCTAAATTAAAGAACTAATAATAGTGCTCGATGGAATGAAGAAATGTGAAGAGCTCCAGTTACATAATGTTCATATAAGATTAGTTAATACGTAATTGAATCTTTAAATGCTATTTTTTCTTGTTTGAAACAAGGTACTCTCCTCAATCCCAAGGTCAGTTGAAAACATCTCTAAAAATGTTTAAACAATTAATACGAATCAAGAAAAAGATAATGAACCTAGAAGGAGCAAGAGATCTTGGAAAACTATTTTTTTTTTTTGGCTCAGACTTTGTAACTTGTGTTGTTGAAGGAATAAGAGATGAACAAAGTGATGTTTGAACTTACTGCTTTAGTACTAAAACTAATCTTCAATTTTTTGAGGAGGTAATGACTTCTCAAGATACTTCGTTGTAGAAGGAGACCATAAATAACAAAATGGACTCTATAATGTCTAATAGAACTTAGATTCTAGTTGACTTACCACCGGGATTTAGGGCAATAGATTGTAAATGAATCTTTAAGAAGTAGATGAAAGTTGATGAAACTATTGATAAGTTCAATACTTATTGAGTAGTCAAGGGATTCATTCAAAGACATGGATATGATTTTCTTGACACATACTCACCAGTGGCTCGAATAACTACGATATGTATTATACTTGCTATTGCCTTAATTCAAAATTGGGTGATTCATCAAATGGATATTAAAACAACATTCCTTAGCGGTGGATTGGATGAAGAATTATATATGAAACAACTCAAACGGTTTGCAGTACCAAATCAAGAACACTAAGTGTGTAAACTTGTAAAATCGTTGTATGGACTTAAACAAGCTAAAAAAAAAACCAGTGACATATCAAAAATTTAATGAGGTAATACTCGCTAGTGGATTAAAATCAACGAGTCTGATAAATGTGTATATAACAAGTATGAGAATGGAGAAGGAGTCATTCTATTTCTTTATATTGATGATATTTTAATCTTTGGTAACGATTTAAAGAAAGTCGAGGATACCAAAATGTTTTTGGCTAGCAAGTTTGAGATGAAAAAAATGAGACAAGCAGGTAATCTTAGGAATTAGAGTTAAGATGGAACTAAACAAAATATTGCTTACTCCAATCTCATTACATTGAGAAAATTTTACAGATGTTCAAATAGATTGTGAACCTACAATGACACCTATGGTTCCTTAAATGGACTTCATAAAAAATGAGAAAAATCCTCGTCTCAAATGGAATATGCTAAAAATATTGGTTGTCTAATGTATGCAATGACTTGTACACGACCAAATAACATATGTTGTAGGCGTATTGAGTAGATTTACTAATAATCTAAATAAATTTCATTAGTCTGGGGTGACTATAGTTTTGAGATATCTTAAAGGTACCAAAGATTATGGTATTTGTTATAGTGGACATCCTTTAGTTTTATAAGGATATTCATATTCTAGTTAGATAACTAACAAAGAAAACTATTTTCAAACAAGTGGTTGGATTTTTATAATAAGTGGCGGTAATGTCTCTCTTGGGTGTCCAAGAAGCAAACATGTCTTCCAAATTCTACCATGGAATGTGAGTTTGTTTGGAAGGCGAGTTTGTAGTTTTAGTATCGGCTGATAAAGAAGCTAAGTAGATTCGAGACTTGTTATATGAAATACAAATGTGGCGTAAACTAGTTGCCCCAGTGTTCACACACTGTGATAATACCTCAACTTTCGTAATAGAAAAATCTATACACATAAGTCGAAATCATAGTAGAGTGAGATACCTAATCACTAGAGGGGTAATAACAATTGATGTTGCTAAGAATTGCCTAGAGACTTGGTGTCTAAAACATCAAGTGGGATGTTGCTGAAGTCCAATTTTAAAATCATGAATGGTGGAACCTCAATCTAATGCTTGACATATCAAGTCTTATACTCAATGAGTAAAAATATATTATTATATTTGATTTGAGTACTAAGTTTATCATCCCAAAGTATATAGTGCTTAATTATCTCTTCAGACACAAGAAGAATGAATATTAGATTCTTAACAACCCTTGAAAATGTCTCAAAAGATGGGACATGCCTAAATAAATATAAATTTTAGGGCTTCCACAAAGTTTAGGACTTAATTTTTGAAACATTTATGAATGGATTAGAGACATAAGACCGTATTTGTCACTTATATAACACAACGAGAGGAATAAATCTATGTGTGATTGCAATAGTGGCTTGTTATATGAACTAATAGCTAAAAGTTTGTCTACCATTATGTTTCAATGGGTTATAAATGTTTTCACTAAAATTTTGTTTCAATCGAGACCAAGATTTATGGATAGGTTATCAAGGAGGTTTTGCGATTCAATGAAAAGAAACTTTTCAAAATTTTGAAAATTGGGGGGAGAGGGGATTGTTAGACTATTTTCACTATTTTGAATACGTAAGCTACAACTTTAGTTATGTCTCCTCAACGACGTAAGTTATTTGAGTAAGATGGCTTTTAACTTCAATTTATTATATGCTCAAAAGATAATATAAGATGATGTTTAATTGTTGTAGCTAGCATTTATAATCTGATCTCTGTTGGTTTGTACAAAGGCAACTTGGTTAGTGTATATTAGATTGTTTGGGATTCATTTGCTGCAGAAAACTTCTCTTGCCTTTATTCCTTTCAAGTGTTTTTAGATGGGTGACTTAACTTAGTGCAAAATTGTTGTCATCAAATTCAAATAATCCTAAAGGATAGTTGCCCAGTAACCACTGCACATAATAAAGGAGAAATAAAGTCTATAGAAAAGTGATTCATCACATTTGAATATTTTCTTTTTTATTTATTTTTCAATCACTCAAAATTAAACAACCAATAGTAATCCTCGATGGAATGAAGAAATGTGAAAAGCTCCAGTTACATAATGTTCAAACTAGATATGATAATAGTGTCATAGTTCATATCCTCAATAGTGATTAGACATATCTTTGAAAAAGTACAATTCCTCTGAGACATGTCAAAAGAACCATGACAAGACATCATTTTAGATGTATACATATATACAGAGGTCAATGCCAGCTGCATGACTTTTAGCTAAAC